GTGAAAGCAGTGACGTAAACTGATAAAGGTAGTGTCTGAGGCAGTTATCATATTCTTGCGCAAACACTGTGTTTCACCGTCTCATCTCATAATAATACAAAATGAACAATTTTATCAAAAAATTGTTATCATGGAAACATGGCTTTTTTAGCGGAACCTTATGAGACAAAATCCCTTGCACTAAAGAAATAACTTACAGGTAAGCCGTGCTCTAACGATATGCAATGCATGACATTTAGCAGTAAGGACAACTGAATGCTCTACTTCAAAAGTAGATTTTGAGTTGTTACCTCTGCATAATAATGTATATTGAATACTGCTAATGCGATTTTGACTTTTTTGAAGCAAATAGGAATAAAACCGTTTTGGTAGTTTCAGCAAAATTCAAATCAAAGATGAGCTTCATCTTTCTGTATTAGGTCAAATTTCTTTTAAGCAATATTTGAAAGACTAACCACAAATAAAAACTCATAACTTCTTAGTGACGCCTCACATAATAATAACAAAACCAAAAATGGCACATCGAATTGTCATTCTTCCTTACTTATCAACATTTTGTTCATCCTACAATCAGATTTAAAAAACATTTAAATTAGTTGGTTCCTGATTATACAAAAAGGCTTGAAAATATCAGCACTGTGAAGCGCTATATAAGTTCAGGTAGATTCTTTTTCCACAAAGCGGTACTGCAGCGTAAACCATGCTGCTCAAAGAAGTAAGAACAAAAGATGAATAGCTTCATCTTTACTGTACATGCCCTCTACAGAATGGAGAGACATTCAATAGGCCAAAATGAAAGAAAAAAAAAACTTTGAAAATGAGCGATCTCTATGAAAGTATTAATTGGAGACCACTGAGTTGCGTCAAACCGAAAGTTTTGCAAAAAATTTTTTTCAAAAGCGCATGGGTGAGATTCAACACTAGCGTTTGGAACCAGGCTTTCGAAGTTTTTATCATGCAGACATTCAGGAGCAAGCAGTCGGTAAAAACCCAGAAACGTGGCAACTTGTTAATCTGCACTGCGAGCAGTAGATCTGCCAATTACCTTCAAAGATGACTTAAGGAAGCGACCAAAAATATTTGCATTATGTTCAACGAAATACCAATGGTTTTGTCTTACCATACTTGCAGCATTTCCTCCAATGTCACTTCTTATGTTTTTGGATTGATGAAATTCGCATTTGTGCTGCAAACGTAATAAAACGGCAGCTCAAGCTGAGCATTGATGGAGAACGTTTGACCCTTCAGCAACATAAACCGTTAGTTG